CTCAGCAAACCAGTAGTTGTTGGTGGTAAGGGATGCCCACCAACCCCCATCGTGAAAGTCCCAACAGCTAAATGTAAAATGGTAAGCACACATAGTGTCTATATGACAGGGAAGCTGGATGGCCAAAGGTGTGACTTTGTCATAGATTCTGCATCCCAGCAAACCCTTGTTAGTATCAAGGTGCTGTATCACAAAGGAGTACCAAAAGCTGTACAGAAGCTCTGTGGTGTAACAGGACTTTATGCAAGGTTGTGGGGACCAGTTTGGGTAACTATTGAGTTCATGGGCATGAAAAAACAGACAGAAAGTATACTTAGCTGACATTGAAGACCAGTGCATACTAGGGTTGGGCTACTTACTACCGAGGAAGTGTGTAGTTAACTTCGATAAAATGACTTCAGAGCTCTTAGCAGTATAACCAAAAAAGACTCATACCCACTGCCAAGAATTGATGATACTCTTGATGCCCTAAGTGGAGCCAGGTGGTTTTCAACTCTGGACTTAAAGTCAGGTTTCCATCAAGTAAAAATGGCTGAAGCAGATAGATCTAAGACAGCATTTAGTTATGGCCAAGGTCTCTGGCAATACCGTGTGATGCCATTCGGGCTTAGCAATGCTCCAGCAACATTTAAAAGGCTGATGGAAAGAGTACTGGAAGGCCTACAATGGAGGATAGCCCTAGTGTACCTGGATGATGTCATTGTACTTGCAACAACTTTTGATGAGGAAATGTTCCAGCTTGAGGAAGTATTCAAGCATTTGAAAGCAGCAAACCTTAAACTCCATCCCAAGAAATGCCACTTGTTCTAGAAAGAGGTGCTTTACTTGGGTCACATTGTAAGTGAGCATGGTGTGTGAACTGATCCTGACAAGGTTAAAGCAGTGCATGATTGGCCAACACCAGACAATGTGGGAGATTTAAGAATTTTTTTAGGACTCTGTACCTATTACCGAAAGTTTTTGAAGGACTACATGATTTGACGAAAAAAGGCCAGAAGTTCGAATGGACAGTTTCTTACCAGCATTCTTTCAAGACATTGAAAGAAAAATTGGCCTCATCTCCACTTTTAAAGCTTCCAAATCCCTTACTGCCGTACATACTGGATTGTGATGCTAGTGATGTCGGAATTGGAGGAGTGTTGTCTCAGAAATTGGGCGAAAACGAACATGTAGTGGCCTACTTTAGTAGGGTCCTGAGAAGAATAGAGCGGAACTACCGTGTAACACGGAGGGAACTCCTTGCTATAGCATCCTTACCTCTATGGTGCCAGGTTTATCATCAGGACAGACCATGCTGCATTACACTAGTTAAGATCATTAAAGAACCCAGAGGCACATTGTATCGGAAAATAGACTAGTATAATTATGATATTAAATATAAGGAAGGAAAATCTCATGGAAATGCTGATGGACTGAGCCAAAGACCCTGCAAAAATGACTGCAGACATTGCTGCAAAAGACATGTTGAACTAACCAGGTGCCATCAAGCTGAAGTCAAAGTGACTGAAGGAGTTGATGATAGTGAAGTGGAACCAAATATAGATATTAAAGCAGAGCAGGAGAAAGTCCAAGATTTGAAGCCAATAATTGATTTTCTACAAGCAAGTGTTTTGCACCCTGCTTGAGAGAAGGTATCTAGCTTAAGTCCTGTGACAAAGAACTATTGGGCACAATGGGACCAGTTGAAGCTTGAAGATGGTATTCTTTTCCAGAGATGGGAAAGTGACGTCCTGGCATATGGTTATACCGAGAAAGTTAGGGAAGTTGTGCTGCATTAATCCCATGATAGTTTAACAGGATGACATCTCAGAGTTAGGAAGACATTGAGTC